ATTTGGTGCTACTTTAGTATTTTCCATTTATGCTTTCTCACTTTATCATTGACAGTCTTATAAACTGAAAAATTAATATATAACACTAGTTTGTGATCAACTAACATATAGAATGACTGAAACTAAGAATGGAAGAAAATTATTATAAACCTTATCCAACAATGGTTAAGATGCTAAGAAGGTAATGGTTATAATAGAAGCAATTTTTTAAAACCTAATGAGTAATTTAGAATTGTATTTTAGAGGATCTCTGCCATTCAAGCAAATATTTTAATTAATACACATTATTTAAAAATTACCTACATATTTAAGTAACTTAAATAAAATATATAATTGTATTAAAAATTCGTTTGTGTGGTTTGTAAAAATAGAAAAGTAATGATGCAATTTCATTAATTTTTAATAAATAAAAACTGAAGATTTTTTTTGGTTCAGTTATTGAAATGTGGCAGAGCTCACAAGCTAAAACCAAAGAAACCAAAACTGATACTAGGAAAAATTACGTTTTCTAATGGTCCCTCCACCCCATTATTTTCAGCAATATAGTAAAAGTTTTTGTTCAAAGAAATACAGTTTGAGAAGGTGTAACAGAAAACTTTTCAAATATTCTTTAATTTTAATGCTAAAGTAGTTTAAGAGATGCTTTCACTTCGTATATGTAAATTTGTATCCAAGTTAAGGATTTTTTAAATTTTATATACAATACACATCTGATTTTTCTGTAAGACTTCAAAGTAGCTTCACAGTTCAAGCTCATGTTGTGATTGTATTTTTTGTAATACACAGTTGTGTATCAATAATTAAATTGTATAAGAAATAAATTACTGATATTTAGAATACATGCAACTTAGCTTTTCTGATCTGTTGTTAAAAATCTTCATAAATAGACACAAAAGGCAATTAGCATATGTTTTGCTGTTATCAGTTACCTATCTGATTTTATCAACTGCTAAATATTTTCTCTTTTCAGAAGTTCTGTAGTTCAGAGGCGTAATAATAATAAACAAAAAAAACTACAACCTGTTTGTATTTAAATATCAAAATTTCTAGTTACATTTAATAGATTTTTTTTTTTAAATTTATTCTTGTTTAACAGGGGCTTTTATTTAAGGTTAAAACATGTTCTTTTCTCCCTCTCTATGTATACTTAATTATTGTTTTTTTATCTTTACAGCTCTGCTCAATCCCAGTACAACTATAAAAGCAAATGGTGTAAAAGCACTTTTGACAAATGTGATTGATAATACTCATGTACAAACATCTGAAGCAATACTTGGTGTAATTTATTTCCTAATTAACCATCCTTCCACTAGAATGTTAATGAAAGACGAATTTGCTCTCGAGGTAAGGAAAAATTGCTACACTTCTGAAATATAAATCTCAGTCAGCTGTAAGAAATTGTAATATGTTTTAAGCAACTAGATGTAACATGAGTATTTTGAAAATTATTTTATTCGTGGATTTGGCATATTCTGGACAGTGGGAGATCAGATCATTTTTAGCTCAGTGATTCTTATAGGGTAGTAAATATATCCAGCATTTCATTTATTATTACTAGATTCATCTTCTTGTTCTTTTGCATATTTAGTTCATTGCTGCTGGAATATGGTTAACTCTTTCTGCTCTGTGTTTACAGTTAGTTTACTCTGAATTCTCCTAAACCAAATCTTGTCTTTTTAGTTTGTCTTAATGTAAAATCTTTCTATTTTCTGTGATGATGTGCATTTTATCTTATTTTTAACATAGTTAAAAATTTGAACATTAAATTGTTTCGAGTATACTTATATAGTACATTTTGAAACTAGAGCTGAAATTTTATTAAATTTGTTATATTTAGTACATTAAGTATATTATATGTAATTAGTTTTTTTAGGATGTTCCTAGATTTTACCAATTTTTTCTGCCATTGTAAAATGTTGAGAAGCATTTGAACTTTATTTTTTCTTGAAATATAATAGCATATCACATTTTTTAAGGATTTGATAAATAGTGTAGTATTTTAAAATTTGAAAATGCATTTGCCACACTTTATGAACTTAAGCATATCTATGAAATAGTTTGTTATTGGGAATTTTTTTTAAAATACTTCTTGAGAATTTTCAAGTCATGTTGATAACTTTTCAAAGAGTACTTTTAATTAGGAAAAAGCTAAAAAAATTACTTATTAAAAACATCGAAAGGAATCCTATTTCTAATTCCATTGATTTTTTCCATTTTCTATGTATGCTATCTAAGTTTTAGAAAATTATAAATAGTAAGGAACGTTAAAGGAAAAGAATTTCATGTTAAGAGCAAAATGCTTGGTGAAAAAACATTAAATTTCATGAGAATTGTGCTTTCATTAGTTTCAACACTATTATTCATTGTATTTATAATTAATTTTAGATAATCTTTGTTAATATTAATTAATATTCCAAAAGTGCAGTATTTTAAAGGTTTTTTTGGTAGAAGCTTAAAAAATGATGACACTTTTGTTTAAGTGGATTTTAAAATAAGAAATAAAAAGATGTTTATAAAAGTGTTTTATTCATATATTAATAAAATCATCCTATGTTCTCTTTCCTGCTGATTCAGTGCCCATTATTTCACTTATATGGTTCAGAGTAGCAGAGGAAAGAAAAACTGCTGTAAACTTCACAAGTTTCAAAATGCACTTGAAATGATAATGATCATAGTTGAATATAAGTTTACATAGTTGAACTGTAGTGCCTAAGATACTCAATACTGTCTTCCTATGTGTCAACATGATTATTTTGGCCCCATATAATTAAATATGAGCAATGGAAGTAATCATTGTATAACCTTAACATCTTTGGTTGAAATTTATGAAACTCTGAATTCATATTCTAATTTGATAGTTATAAGTACTGTGTTTATTCAAAAATAAGACCCTTCTTATATTTTATGATAAATTTTAAGAAATAAAAATGTAGATCATTATTTGATGAGAGCTTAGTTCTGATAAGAATTCATTTTTTTTTCTGATCCACCTAATTAAATACAATATTTTACTGTGATATAGAAAGAAAAACTAGGAAAAATTAATGATAACATTAATTTTAATGATAACATAAAATTACCTGTTTGTTTTCAGGCATGCCAATAACCAATATAAAGGCTTAAATTGAAATCACTCATCTAGACATCGCTATTGTAATTAGCACTAGTTATGCAGTTTATATATGTGGTAATTACGTGTATAGTTTATTTAGTATTTAAACTATGTAATTATTCTTTTTAAGATAATTAAGCTGTTTCCTCACTCTCCAATTTCATTTATTAAAATACCCAGTTATAAAACCTACTAAAGTTTTGAGGGGTGGCAAATTTGGCTAAAAAAGGGATCTTATTTTTGAGTAAATGTGACATGTTATTGGTAGTCAGCTATCAGTGGTCAGAGAGTGTTTGGCACATTGTATCCATACTCATATTTCTTCATTTCAAGCGTTTGCACACTTTTTTTCCAGCATTCACTTTGTTCTAAATAATAATTTGTTTCACTCTTGCTTGTAAAGCTCTTATTTAGTATAATAAGGGCCTCAATCGAGAGACTTTTCATGCTACTATTGCTTAGAAACAACTACTAATCTGCTGTTAGTGCTAAGATAATGAATGATTCATAGTTTTACCCTACTTTGAAACATGTGCTATTTTAATACAATGTAGAAACTACATTTCTTAATATCTCACTCGTCTTTTACTTATTGTATTCAGATGTTAGGATTTCTTACTTTTACAGGTACAAGATAGAATATCTATTACATTTTCCATTATTGTATTTATTAGTATTTTACACACTGTGTATCTATCTATATATATATATAATTTTAAATTCACTTAGTTCGAAATCATTTTAATACTTTGCATAATAGCTGCAAAGTAAGATAATAATAATTTATTTACTAAAGAAATATTGATTATATTATCTCCTAATATTAATTTTAGTAGAAGTATCCAAAAAGAGTGAACCCATAGGTAGTAAGTTTAATTCTGAAAATTGTTTTAGAGTAACTTGAATGTAAATTGTTAAAAATGTTTTACGAGACTTAAATTAAATCATGAATAACAAAATTTCAATTGGAAAAAGAAATTAAATTAAAAGCAAGTAATCATTGCCATTGATCGGAAATTAGTTGACTTTTCAAGGGGAACAAACCAACTCCCGTTCAATGAACAATAATTAATAAATAAATACGAAGGTGTTTCATCCTTTACTCAAGTAATGAGGTGATGCCAAACTGGCAAATTAAGTTAGGCCAAATATTTCCGTGAAGTGAAGGGATCCAGAACCAATGCAGAGCACCAAAGAACTCATTCTGGTTAAGCATTTTCGCTAATACAATTTTGAGTGAAAAGCAATTTATGCATTAAATTTGATAAATTACTTGAGTAATTGTTCCCCAACACCCTTGTGTTTATGCATTTTAATTCAAATCTATTTGTAAAAAATTAAACATTGGAAATTGGAATTATGAAATATAACTCAAAGTAATTGAAATAAACATTAGAAAATTAAGAAATACAAGAAATATAATGTTATCTTTGCAAAAACAAATCAAATAATAAAAAATTGAAAATTAACATATATAAGAAAAGGGAATGTACATGAAGATATAAAAGGCCAGAAAAAGCATTAATTAACTTATGTTCTTTATAGTAGGAAGTGGGTAAAGTGTTTTCTTCGGCGTCTTACTCAGAAGGGTTGTGTGTCCAAAATTCTTTATCAGCAGTAAGAGCTTGCTTTAACTGTAAATTCATTGATGTTGTTTTCAAAAGTCTTGTAACAGTAATTTTTAGTTATGTGTCTGACTGGTCAAAATTTTGCACCATAACTTATTAGTGTTTTTAGTTGATCATTTTGTATGATATTCAAGTTGTCAGTAATTATGTGCTGGTCATGAGAATCTACGTAAGTACTGTAAACTGGTAATTTGCAATGTCATTCTCTGACTCATCTATTTCATGGTGGTTAGTTAGCAAGTTGCTTAAGGTCCTTTGATATTTAAATGCAACTATTGGTATGGTGTCTACAGCTGGGAAGTAAACTTTACAATCGTTGAAGATTCTAGAGAATCGAATATTGTCAAACTGCGGAGGCAGAAATTTGACTTTAAAATAGACAATTAGATAGTCTGAATTTACAAAAATCGAAAACCATGTCTTTAATAATTTGTATTTCGTTGTAGTTTTCATGAATGAATTTTTTTTAGTTTTATAAGGAATTTATTAGTACAAGAGAGTAACCAGTTGAGAAGTTTCTTGGGGAAGTTTTCCCGAGTCAAAAAAACATTTAAATTGTTTTTTCAATGTAATTGTATCCAAAGTGGGTAAAAATCTCGTATTACTTTTTAATTTGCTTCCTCTTTTGCCTCTTTGCATTTTGTAGCTGTACAGCTTAAATTGGCAGAAAATGGATTTATTGGAAGTGTCTCTGTGACTATGTATGTAAGTGTTAAGTCCATAGGGATAAAGTGAACGTTGTTTTAGTATATAGAGTGATTCCTGAAAAATTCGTGCTTTGTGATCTGGTATTATGTCTAAGATCTGAAGTTAAATAGAGTTGAAGTCATGGTGTTTAAAGTGCTCTAATTCTGCTGTATTGATCTGTGAAGGTGTACTTATTTTAGTGCTATTTTTTTGTGCATTGAATTTCTTAATGTGAGCTCTATGGTTATTGATTCGAAAATTAAGATTGTTTTTAATCTATCCTATATATTTAATATGTCAGGTGCCACAGGTAATCATGTAAATACAGTTAAATGTTTTTCATAGAACCTGTTTTTTGGTGTTGCCTGTAGTAGGCATGGCGTTAAAATTTGCAAGTTTGTCATCTAGTGGAATGACATTTAATGATTTGAATTTGAGAGATGTGAGCAAGATTTAAAAGTAAGAAGGCTACTAACCTTCAATACAGTCAAGTTTTTATAGAAAAACTTTTAAACTTAACAATAAAAGTAAAAGTAAAAATAAAAGGTGGAGGTAATATATAGAGTAAGTTCATTAAGCAAGAAATAAATAGCGCAAATATCTGCTATTTAGCATATCAAATGTTGTACGATTTTAAATTCACTTAGTTCAAAATCAAGTTATTCTAATACTTGCACAATAGCTGCAAAGTAAGATAATAATAATTTATTTACTAAAGAAATATTCAATATTATCACCCACTTTGGATACAATTACATTGAAAAAAACAATTGAAATGTTTTTTTGACTCGGAAAACTTCCCCAAGAAACTTCTCAACTGGTTACACTCTTGTACTAATAAATTCTTTATAAAACTAAAAAAATTCATTTATGAAAACTACGACGAAATACAAATTATTAGAGACATGGTTCTCGATATTTGTCTTACATCAGATATTAAAAATTAAAAAAAAACTTTTTACTATTACAAAAATAGATAAAGCAAATAATAACTTTAGTATTATATGAAAACAATTCTATGCAGAAATTATTCATAAAGAACCTTTCAATGCAACTACTTATCAATTAGCAAACCTTACAGAAACATCTATAATAAATAAACAGAATTAAAACTTTTCATAAAAAACTAAATATTACTTTAAATCCCAGCTACAGCAGATTTAGTAACCTCTATGCACTTCCCAAATTCCATAAAACACCATTAAAATTCAGATTTATAGCAGATTAAAAATTATTCATTCTAAAATAACTAATAATTAATAATTACAAGAAAAATGTAGACCATTATTTTTCAATTCAACTTTAAAAAATCTGTAAATTCATTTTCAACGGTTCTAATACTAATCATAACTATTTCTGGATCATCCATAATAACACTCCTGTCATTAATGCCATTCAAACAATTAACATACAGAACATTAACTGCTATGACTTTAAAAACTTATATACCTCACTTCCTTTAGAAGAAATTTATACTAGTAGATCTGCCTAAACTCTTCCCTGATATGCTCTCGATTATGAATCTTAGTAAATGGAAAACCTACCTAAAATGCACACTTTTTCATAACTACATTAAATTTCAAAATCAACTTTTTAAACAAGTCAGAGGTCTTCCAATGGTGTACCATTTCAGTACCTTGACATGTAATATCTTTTTATTTGTCAAGGAATTTAACTTCCAAAAAAATCTACTACAGCAAGAATGAAGTTACTACAAGCACACTTACAGATATATAGATGATCGTATTACATTTAATAATTTTAATAAGATTGAATGCTCAGAGATTTATCCAAATCGCCTTACGCTTAATAAAACTAATAATTCGCAAAATATCATAGACTATCTCGATCTTCAAATCATTTACTACAAAAAATTTTACTGTTTGACAAAACAAGAAACTTCAGTTTCAATACTAACAAATTAATAAACTGAAATTCCAACATCTCCAAAAAAGTAATTAATAATACAATAATAAATCAAATACAACGTATTAAAAATATCTGCACAGATAAGATAGATCTTGAACGTAAAATTTTGCTCCTTATTAAAATTCTCAAAAATAATCTAATACCTAATCAATTTATTAACCATTGCCTTAAAAGAGCAGGTGTTAAATACTCACTCTAAATCATTTAACTGATAGGGATATGATAATTTGTTCCTAAACCTGAGAAGGCGGTATAAGTTGGATAACTATCAGTTGAAGAATTTGTACATAGTGTAATTACAAAGCTGTATGTAATGTAAAAAGCTAATTATGTTCAGACTTTTTTTATGCTGTTACTAAAAAAATGGGCCTATTTCATAATCTTTAGTCTGTCAAATAGCTCTTTGACAGTGAAAATTACTTTTTTCCTTTTCTTAATTTATTCCTCGTTCCGACACGACAATTAGCCAGAAATTCATTAATTTCCATCCACTAGTATATTCAAAATTTTAACAGACGTTTTCACTCACATAAGAACTACATAACATACTTCCCTGAAGCATTCCTAGTCCCTCCTTATCCCATAAATTACTTCTCACAAGTTTCGCCACCTGAAATAATTCAGTCTCCGCTGCCGATAAAGAATTTCGGACACACAACCCTTCAGAGTAAGACACCGAAGAAAACACTTTGCCCACTTCCCACTATAAAGAACGTAAGTTAATTAATGCTTTTTCTGGCCTTTTATATCTTCATGTACATTCCCTTTTCTTATATATGTTTAATTTTCAATTTTTTATTATTTGATTTGTTTTTGCAAAGATTACATTATATTTCTTAATTTTCTAATGTTTATTTCAATTACTTTGAGCTATATTTCTTAATTCCAATTTCCAATGTTTAATTTTTTACAAATAGATTTGAATTAAAATGCATAAACATGAGGGTGTCGGGGGACAATTACTCAAGCAATTCATCAATTTTACTGCATAAATTGCTTTTCACTCAAAATTGTATTAGCGAAAATGCTTAATCAGAATGAGTTCTTTGGTACTCTGCATTTATTCTGGATCCCATCACTTCACGGAAATATTTGGCCTAACTTTATTTGCCAGTTTGGCATCACTTTATTACTTGAGTAAAGGACGAAGCACCTTCGTATTTATTTATTAATTATTGGTCATTGAACGGGAGTTGGTTTGTTCCCCTTGAAAAGTCAACTAATGTCCGATGAATGGCAATGATTACTTGCTTTTAATTTAATTTCTTTTTCCAATCGAAATTTTGTTATTCATGATTTAATTCAAGTCCCCGTAAAACATTTTTAACAATTTACATTCAAGTTACTTTGTTCGGAATTAAACTTACTACCTATGGGTTCACTCTTTTTAGGTACTTCTACTAAAATTAATATTAGGAGATAATATAATCAATAGTTCTTTAATAAATAAATTATATATATATATCTTTATAGGCTTTTATTTTTGCAATATACTTCCAGTAACAGAAATGCATTGAAGAAAGAAAATATTCATGTTATTGTATTTTAAATTATAAAAATACGTTTTGTAAATTTTCCAGTCCATATCATTTAGTCAACATTTACAATCATTCTAAAAAATAAAACATGAAGTTTGACTTCTTTACAACAGAGATTGACTGATATATTTAATTTAAAATCTGGGCATGTAACAAAATTATAAATAAACAAATTATAAATAACAAAAGAAAATACTAGTTAATCATAAAAGACTACTACTGAATGCCAAATAAATCAATCTTGAACTATCCAAATTTCTTCCTTAACTGACCACTCAAGGAGAATGGTAAGTTTGGTTTCCTGGCAATGGAAAATCCATAAAAATCTCTAATTTATAAATTTGATATCTATGTCAGTTTTTGTTATATGGGAGTTAAACATTTTCTGTTCCATTTTTTTCAGAATAAGCACAAACTGTTGTTAAATGTAACTATATGGATTAGGAAACTATGTAAAATGCATTTTTTAATATTTGATATATATCTTTTTTGGTAATTTTATATTAAAAAAAAAAGGGCAGGAAAAAATATTCTAGCTTTCAAAATGAACTTTTTTTTTAAACTTGGATTTAAATTTTATTTAACAATAAAGATAAAATGTTACCAGTATAGAGCAGTAAGTATATTTTTATAATATATTCAATGGAAAATTTCTATTAAGGTGCTTTTGTAATTTATAGGATGCAAGTTTTTTTTTAAAAATATTAAATATTAAGAAAATTGTTTTCATCTTTTCCTGGCGAAGTATCAAGCAATATATACTTTTAATTAGTGTATTTGTATAATAATAATTGGAATTATATATTACTGAACTATATAATTGTAACCAGTATTGCACAAGTGCTACTTTATTTAAAATTTAAACCTTTAAAAAATTGAAACTAACTTTCATGGTGCAATAAATAATGTTTTTGCTTTCAGAATTTATTAGCCCCATTTACTGATTGTCATTATCGTTCTGCAGACACTTCTGAGAGTTCAACAAGGTAAGATATATTTGTATATATGTGTTTATTGGTTTATCAAGATTAATTTAAAGGCCTTTTTTTGATAGAGTGTGTTGACATCCCACATCTCATTACTAGCTCTGTAGAGAAATTTTGCATTTTACTTTTTACATTTTTGATACTTGCTATTGTATTAGTTCTGAAATGGAAATGACTTCATATTAATATTCTCTAGTCCTACTTTATAAATTTATTTAAACATCTTGCATTATAAATTTAATAAGTTATACAGTTAGGTTAAATTTTTGAAAATTTTTAAAATAAATCTTTATAGTATGTTGTACCAAAGTCATTTTCAGATATTCTTTTATTTCTAGAAGCTGTTATTTTCTTTTGAAATACCATCTATCTTGCATCGTCATAAACTAAAATTTAAAGTTGTTATATTTTACAGTAATTTAATCAATATGGACTGAAATTTGCATTTATTCTTGTAAACATTTTAAGCAGATTAGAAGAAACTTAAGGGGGGGGGAAAGCATTATAAGAAAATTATAAGTATATCTGCACATTCTACCAATCTACACTTTATCAACTTTTAGGCTGTAATTAAAAATTAATGTTATTTCATGAAAATTTGATGCTGTAAGTAAATGCTGCTTTTAACAAGAACATATTTATTTTATAAATATTTTAAAACTGATAAAGTAAAATATTTTAATGCTTTCAGTTGAATATATTTGTGGGGTTTTTGTTATTTTAATTGACCAGTTATGATCTAGACCTTTACTATAATTTTTTTTCCCGTTTCAATGCCAGAATGCAAATTAGTTTGCGAATATTTAAATTAATGTTTTTAGATTGTAAGACGGAGCTTGTTCTACCTCTTGAGGCTACATTATTAAGTTGCTGCTAAGTCATATAAGATTTGTAGTCTTAAACTACTAGCTTATTTTAAATTTGAATGTACTGTTACTTTAAGTTACATCACCTCAAGAGGTTTGCTGAGTAAGAGTTATGCATTTATGTTCAAATTCTGATTTAGTAAAAAGGTTTGTTAAAACCTTCTCAACTCTCTGACATTAACTTTTAGCTTTAGCAATAACTCACTGCCAGTCTATCCAAAGTTTGGTTACAATTTATGATAGCTGAAAGGACCTATATATTAGGCTTTATATATTTATGGTATTGAAATTTTTAACCTTTTAGCAGTTATATCTGTTTATGAGGTTTGTTTTCACATTTTGTATATTACCATGATATTTAAGATATTTTGCTCTCTTATTTTCAGTAATGATATAGACAATATCTTGTTAAATGAAAAGTTATGAAAATATTAATATTAAGTAAATAATTTTGAAAATCTAGTCAATGAATGCTATGTGCATGCAGCTATTTTTGAAGAAATCCAGAAAGCATAGTTACTTAAAATTAATTTTTTTATCTTTTCAAAATGCATCTTAAGACATCTAAAAAAATGGTGCTTTGAAACTGTTGAGATTTGTCTAAAGTGCATATTCAGCTTTCTAAAAATATATTATTTTCATCAAAATATTTAGTTAAAGTTATGTTTCTTGACAGGCGAATTGTGATTTTGAAAATTTAATTGTTAAAATGAAGTATTAGAATGATTCAAAACTGTTCAGCAAGACATTGGCATGACAGCAATCTGTGTGACAGTGATTCGGGTATATTTATGATATGGGAAATTTCTCAGCTGCTACATTCAGGACAATCTCTAACCTTATGCAGAAAGTAGTTTTCCCTCATATGTCAGTGGTTGATGTCATCATTCCTTAGCAACTTCACTTTCTTTTTTTGAGAATGAACTGCGGTACTTTTTATCTTCGTAATGGACACAAACTCCGGATAAAATTGAAATAGATATGGCATCACATAACTTTAAAATTGTATAAAAACATGCTGCCCCGAAAGTGATTGAACTGCATAGAAAGATAAAAACTAATCATTTATGCATTAAAAATAATTTAGCATAATAATTCTGTAGAATTAATTGTTATTTTGCTTAATTAAAATTTAGTTTGTTTTGAGATTCTGAGACTGAATTATAGTGAATATGGATTGACTGAAGCCAGACTATGCAAGGGACTGTTATATCTCCAATTAATAAAACTATTTTAAATGACATTAATGTTCATAATTTGGTCTTTTTTAAAAATTTTAAAAGTCAATTGTGTAAAAATTATGAAATATAAGTTTTTATGTGATTTCTCGGAGCCTGTAATTGTAAATGTTTATTCTCATGGTAAAAAAATAAAGTACAAAAAGTTGACAGCTGTATGACAAAAATTGAATGTAATATTTTATTTCAAAATTTAGGATGTGTGATGACATATAATAATATGTAACATTTTTTTAAATATTTTTATTCTGTGTATACTGATTATCATTAAATAAGGAAAAATCAGAAAAATGACAGTTACTCAAAACATTACATGTAGAATTTACTGAAACTGACCCACAGTATACAACACAATAAGGTATAAAATAACATGAAAAGAAATTACCAGACGATTATGCTGTTATAGAAATTAGCATATGTATAAAATGAACAAATCGGATGTGTCAGTTTGGTTTATGAAAATAACCTTCAATATGGTGTATGATCTCCCTTAGAAGCAATGCAACACATACAGCAATGTGCGATGCTGTCAATTATTTTGTCTAACTGTTTCATACAAAATGATAATTATTGCTCTTGCAAAGCAGTTGCAAGCATGGCAAGGGTCTGAGGAGGAGGATTGAGAGCAGATCTACGTCTTCCTAAAGCATTGCAAACATGCTCAATAGTATTCAGGCAAATATAAGAAACGTTATTGCTCCGATTGGGATTCATTAATGTAAAATAAACTGGTGTAAAATAAGCACTGTCGTGTCACTTGGTATTTCTCGACGTAAAATAAAACAAGCGCTATCGTGCTGCTTGGGTCTTTTCGTACTCATTTACAGAAGCATTGTTTGGGATTCTTCGAGAGTGTTTTTTCAATACCCCCAGGACCCAAACGGTTAATACTGCTGTAAAATTATTATTGGCTGTTTGAGTTTTAGTTCCATTTACATTGTCAGAAATATGCATGACATGGATTGATCTCGAAATGATGCAGTGCAGTTCTGCCTCTTATGACGTTCTTGTTGCTTTTTTTTAAAATAAATTAATCTTTTAATTCTTCATTCTACTGTATATGATTTTAAGAATGCAGATAGTCTGTTAAACAATTTTAAGTCATGTAATTTTTATCTCATTTGTATGTTGCATACTATGTTATCTTTTGTTTAATTACTTGTTTTATTATTATAATTTTTTTTTCAATTTATGTAATTCTTTCAAGCGATGATAAAGACCCTCATGTGCATTCCTGTAAGATGGCTATTGTGTCTACACTACTGTCTTGGCCTGGTATGAAAGCATTTTCATTTAAAAAAGAAAATATTTTGTTTTTATGAGAAATTTTTGTGGAATTAGATTAAATCTTCAGGTAGCACAATTAATGTATTCTTTATGGTAAAGAATTTTTTTATGTCAACAACATTTCTGTTTTTCTTCTTTATTAAAATAAATTTAGATAATGAATTGTAAACATGGCTTATGATGGATAGTTATTATTTACAAACAAGATATATAGTAAACATGCTGGATGAATAGTAAATATGGCTTATGATGAAGAGTTATTATTTACAAACATGTTATATTGAAACCTTTTCATTATAATTTTCATGTTTTTATGAAATTGTATAAATAATATAGTGCTTTTGTATATTGCTTATTAAAGAGTAAAATTATTTTGTGAAATATTTCTTTTGCATTATCAATTTAAAATAGCATGCAAATAGCTTAGGTGTACTACATTTAGATATATGGCAGTCTTGGTGATTTAAGTGGCAATATTCATCAAAATTGTGTTAGATAAGTTCTTTTGGGGGAATGTTATGTACCCTTGCTTATCACCAGTTTCTGAATGGGAATCAAACCTTGAATTTTCCTAGCCCTTTCCAGGTCTGATCCATTGCATAGTCATTTTATTAGGTTAACTGAGAAAGAGGAAATGTTCAAGTAATCATATTCATGACAAGAACTTATGTGAGTGCATTTTCATGTTGTTTAATTATTAACTGTTCTTAATTGTAAGAGTTTTAGGAAAATTAATTTGAGTGAAAAGAACAGGGAAAATTAATAAATAAATCAATGAAGAGTATTTGATTAAATTGAGTATGCACATATATGCAGCATGAGGTATTATGGGTATATGAAATGGATATAACGTATGAAGATGGTTGTACAATCAAAAGTGTCAGTAAAAATTATTATATTGTGCACATCATTTTTGAATAACATTGAGTTGCTGTTGTAGTGTGATATGTCCAGCAGTATAACATTATTAGCAGTTTAAAAGTGAGAAAGTGCTTAACGATGAATATGAATAAAGTAACTGAAAAATAACATTCTAAATTAACTGAAAATTAATTAAAAGATATTTAAACAATGCAAAATTAGCAAATGCTTTTAAGATTTTTGTCAAAATTAATGTGCATAATATAATAAACAAGAATGAAATTATAATCCTTAACCTTGCACAACCCTTGAAAACTGAGTTTGTGACAACATCAGAGCTCATATTAGCTTACACAGTGCACAGGCTGAAATCTTAGTGGTTACATGTGGGATTTTTTTGAGGGAAACACTTGAAAGTATATACCTAACTATTAGCAATGATACCGTAGCTACAATCAGCACTACCAGAGGTTTCATACCTAGCTTGAAAAGATGGTGCCTGTCATATGGTCTTCTGTCTTGCAGTATTGTGAACCCACTTTCAGATAAAGATCTTCTGCATTTAATTCTTTGTTGGTCAGTGCTGTTCTCTTTTCCCATAAGTATTCATCTTGAATAACATTGGTAATATTATTATATTTTGTGTACTAATTTAGAAAACTGCAGTATGATATTACATATGAAAACTCACCCATTGCTTAATTTTTGAAGGCAGTGTAGGATAATATGAATTGCTGAGAGAATTGTTTGATACTGTAGAGATTTTTTATTCAGCAGTAACTGTAGAATGTACTAAGAAAATGGTGCTATTCAGAAAATGTCTGTTGACTAGAGAAAGGCTTATAGAGAGTGGAAAGAGAGATTCATTACCAGAAATTTGCTAGTATTCTATATACCAGTGAACAAACGATAATTTCAGTCATTGTTATTGTAATAATGGAAATGCAGAAAGCATCTTAAAATGCACTATTTATTAGATACTTTCATGTTTATGTATAATTTCTAAAAGGTCTACTGGAAAGTTCTGTCCATTTGTAAGATGGAAAAGAAATTTATTTTTTATACCTTTCAATGATATTTATTGTACAATATATTTGCTGTTGTTACTAATAACTTCTTGCCACTAAATGGTAATTTGTAAATGGCATTTTTGAAAAATGTCTTTTCTTCTTTGTGAAATATTTGTCAGAAGAACTGAAGTAGTGCATGGCTGACATCTGCTTAATTTTTAGATTTTTGCCCTTCAAAAAAATTTTTTGGGAAAGAAACAGGCAATAATCAGAAGGCACTAGATCTGAAGAGTTTCATGGAATGTGGGAGAATTTTCCAGCCTAACTCGGCGATTTTTCTCATGACTCGCCAAAGCAGCATGTGACCTCACATTATCATGTTGCAGCATGATGTGCTTCCATTGTCGGCCTCTTTTCTTTGACTGTTTGTTTAAATCATCCATTTGCTGACAGTATCTCTCCAGATGGACTTTTTATTAGGTTTCAAAAGCTCGTAATGTATTGGTCCTTGTTTGTTTCTCCATGTCCACTCTTTTTCAATCTCAAACTCAGTTTAGAGTTGGAGGGGGTAGGTTGTCCAAGCTCACATATGTTCTTTTCCTAATGATGTTTTTATAAATAATCCACTTTTCATCATGAGTTATTTGGTCCAAGAAGGGTTTGTTTTTGTTTCAAGCAAGCAGAGATGTACATATGATAACTCTGTCATTAAAAGTTCTCTCACTTAACTCTTGAGACACCAATCTGGAATATTTACAGACCAGTCATTTTTCTAAACATATTCTGAAATGGTTTGTTAAGCCAAGTCAAACTTTTCTGCAATTCTGATGTTGTCAGAAATGATCTTGCTTTATCATGGTCATGGTAGAACTTCATCGATCATAGATGGCTGCTCAGAGCATGGTTGATCATTATGGTCAGAATCACCTGCTTCAATTTTTTTTAACCTCTTGCATGTTTTATCCAAAACTCTTATTTCTGCCAAAAATTTTCACTCAATTTTGAAATGCGTATGTAACATTTCTTCCTTGTTGGAATTTATACAAAGTACAGTTCCAGTAAGGAAGAACTGTCATAAATGTCAATTCACAGTGTCATAAATGAACTGCACTATTAACCATATTTAAGTGACTCCTTCTTAATAATGGTATGAAACACTTTTGTTTCAGGTGATTCAAAAGAGCACATGTATATAAATGTAGTGATAAAGAGAGACAACTGTATATGTTTCAAATGAGCACATGCAGGCATATTGAAACTTAAAATAACATTATCAGACAGAACTTTCCGCTCCCCCAGTGCTGTCCCTCAGAATTAAGGTTGGAAAGTAGAAGTCCCACCTCTCTTCGGAGTAAGCTCTTTCAATCATTGTTACATGTAATATGGTCAAGACAACAACAACAAAAGCAAATAATGCCCCCCTATAAAAAGCATTATTTGAATATATGAATATACATATACATATGAATTTGAATCATATGCATAATAATAATTATACGTATGAATTTGTTGCACAATAAGAAATAGCAGTTGAGGAAAAAATATCCATAAGAAAACTGCTGTCAAGGATACAAGAACATTATGATAGATTTGTCAGAATTGTTGATTGGTATTGAGAAAATTGAACTGAGATTAATGGGTTCTTTGCAGCTATCAGAATTTCAGAGAGAACCATTTAGTGATGTTAACTTTCATATTGTTATTTTCAATTAAATGTCAAAATATAGAATGCTTTGTCCTGTACATATTGTAGCTTCTTAAGTTTGATAAAAGAGGTAAAGGTAGCAGTATCAATTTATTATATTTTTGCTAAATGCTAGATCACAAAGTAATGCAGTTAATGCTGTCAATATTGCAGGACAAATTTATATGTTAAAATAACTAACTAATTTAGAATTTGTATTATATTATAAATAAGAGATTATATATAATTCCTTTGTTTTCAGATTATTTCGTTTAACTGATTTCTTATTTAATGAGTGTATATTACAGGTCTTATCTACTTGTGCAGATCTAATTCTTCTCATGTACAGTCTTTAATTGAAATGTTGTATCTTCCCTATCCTGATTTGCGTGTAAGTTCTACGTTATATTTTTTCCAATAATCATTATTCCAATAATTTGTGAGGATTTTTTTATATTGTTCAGAAAAAAAGTAATTAAAAAATTTAGATGCCTTTGCAATGTATAGGTAAATTGTTAAATATGTAATCCTTTATATGATAGTGTAGGCATAAAATCAAAATAATAATTTTTTTTTTCCTTTATAGAAAAATATTTTAGATCTTCTTTACCAAATTTTTGATGTACCTGTTCCTGAATGGACAGATGATTTTTCTGCAGCATTGAGTTCTTCAGGTAAGTTTATAGATGACAAGTTAATTACTTAAAAATTGTACAATAGTTGATTTAGTATTTTGTACATGACTTTCAATTGTGGCCTCTACTTATGTTATGCTCTGAATCAAACAAAAACTAAAATATTGATAAATGATAATATAAAGAAATATTATCACATATCCCAAATAATGCTGGTGAATAAAGAAATGTCATGTTGAATGTAATTTATTTCATAAATAATTAATATTTTTAAAGGTGCCTTTAGTATCCTACCATTGATAGCTGCTTCATATTAGATATAATATTTAAAATAATGTGTTTACAGAATGAAACAGAATTTATTTTAAATAAATCATTTTCATTTACTATATTCTTTTTATAGATTATTATATAATGTGGGCGAAAATGTTAAATATAGGTTGTAGAGACATTAGGTTAATTGGAAGCAGAAAAGATGAAAAATATGCAACCGCCTTCGCCGGGAATCGAACCACGGACCTCCGAAATACCGACTCAGTGTGCAGAACCACTACACCATGAAGGCACGCTAGGGAAGTGGGAGAAATACCTTATAAGGTGCTAAATCAAACTTGCGCTGGGAAGTAAGTTGAGCATTTTCGCAAGAATAATCCACACCATGGTTCTCAACTCTTTTTGCTCAATGCATCCTTTTCACCATTTCTAGAAGATCATTCCCCCTCCTTTGCAAAACTCAAAAAATACATATACATTTATTTAGATTAGATTATTTTTGTTATGTGTTTTTATAAAATTAAACTACAAAAAGTATGGAAAATGTTGATAAGTACCAAAATGTAAATAAAAGTTGTTTTTTGAATTCTTAAACTAAATACGTAACAGTTAAACAAAGAGATAAACAAATTCCTGCCCTGAAACTGTGGACTTCCAAACTGAGAGACCTTTCTGTTTCCCAAACCTAAAAGCACTTTGAAAGGAAGACATCATTTCCAGTCCATAGATGAATTTCAGAAAGATGCTACAAGAGTAGTGTATGTCATTGAAAAAAGTTACTTCCAGCAGGGTTTCCAAAAGTGGAAAAAGCTGTGGCGTTTTAGCTGTAGAGGGGAGTATTTTGAAGGGGATAGTGGTTGAAAGTTTGTTTAATGAGGAATAAAACAAGCTTAAGATTATTTGTTTTTGAACTGTCCTCAAAAAAATTTTTTTTTTTAAATTAAAAATTTTTTTAAATTTAAATAATTGTTTTCTGCAAAGAAAACTATTTTTGATAATTATATAAATAAAGCTTTTTATACTGACATTTGCTTATAAGTCTGATAGTTTGTGTCTTCTCTGTTTTGAGATGTTTAGAATTTTTTATACAAAATGACATGATCATTCTCTGATTTAAATGAATTAGATGGGAATTTGAACAGGAAATGCCATTTTTTAGAATTTCGCTGTTATAGGTAAGATTTATTGATTATGAAAGAAAACAGCTTCTGGATTTTCACTAAAATAAACTGTAAAAATTAAGATGTATTTTTTGCCGTCTGTAGCTGGAAATAATAATTCAGAAATATGTCTCCTAATGGAAAACAGTGCAGCATTATATACATCCTTGCGGTAAGCATATTCCTACTAGTGAGTCCTAGTGGCTTTCTATCAGTTTATCATTGGGCTATGAGCTGTACTGTTCTGTCATCCTGGTCTTCCATTATTTGCTTCTTTTTTTGTTGGCTACCTGTAGTTTGGAAACTCTGTATTTTTAATTTGCTGTAAAGAAATGTTTGATGTATGTATTTAGTAATGAAGTTGCCTGATTTTAAGAGTTTCATATCATTTTTCATTCGATATGGAATAACACTCACCATTATCCACACATATTTTTAAAGCAACAATGTTTCCATGTAGTGATTAATTTTTATTGTGAAATTGTTAAATATTAAGAAAATGTAATTATTGCTTTAGTTTAAGCTCTGTGTTTAGCTGTTCTTATCTTTCTGTACTGCATGAATATCCAAATTGTGTTCTTGCACTCAATGGTAGCAGTTACTTCTTTGTTGTGAAAGACGTTATTGCTGTAGAAAACCTTGTTATGACAGTTCTAGGATTTAATTCAATAGTCCTTTGTAGTTGGATATGACAAGACTCGAAGATTTCTAAGTATATCTTTATAATTTTTTGCATGTCTTTTCAGAGGTGTTGAGGACAGCACCTTGAAAGGAACAATTTTCATTTGCATTCTGCACTGTGTGCATCTTTGTTTTCATAAAAATGGGGACATTTTAAAACTGTTCCTTATCAATTATTTGCAGAGGTACCATTATTGATTTTCTGATTATATCTATAGAATGCTACAAGTATAGTATTTCTTGAATGTTTGGAGCATAGCTGTGAAAGGTGAACTGTTTCACTTGTTCACTGAATCCTACTTATGCTTGTATGGTACTGTAACAAACTGAATCTTTTCAATTAATTTTTCAGTTTTGTAAGTTACCAGCTTTTTAGTAAGAAGGGAAACAGTTAAGATTTCAAGCTTCTGTACTTTTTCAAGCTTCATGTAAGTATTTTGAAATAGGAGAAGCAAGAAGTATCTGTTTTCAATTCTCTGATGCCTTTATGAAGGGTTTTTTTAAAGGGAATTCGGCTGGTATTCATGTTGTGTATGTGTAAAGTAGCAGAAGCAAAGAATATGAAAGAAAAGAAGGCAAGTTCTCATAGATGCAATGTAATCCAGTTTGATTGCCTCAGGTGATTATAGAATCCACACCTATCTGTAGTGAAGTAAATGCACAGGTTACAGGTGAAATTCATTCATGAAGAATCAATCCTACTGTAATGGTAGTTAAATGCTAAGTGTATATCTTCTATCTGGCTACTTAGGGTCTCATATTTCGTAAATACGGATCTAGTAATTCCGAGGTACCCATCTTCTTAGTGAGACAGGTATCAAAATTCTGGTGCCCTAGTGACTAGCCTAATTTCCTTTTCCCCTTCTCTTAACTACTAATATTTCCTATCCTTCTCAGTCTTCATAGTCAGTTAGTTATAATATGCTTGTTCAGTCTTGACCTCTGAACTAACTGCTGTTTATTTTGTGCTTTTGTTCATTTTGAAGCTATTCAAGAGAAAGTTTATAATTTATATAAACTCGTATAGTGCGTTGAGAGCATTAGAAACTTTTTCCAACGCTCACAATCCTGTTGATTTGTACTGGGTTGAAGTTCAGAATTTAAACTTAAACTGATTAAAACTGAATGTGTGATTTACTGCTGTATTCCTGGTCATGCTGGGATAGAAAGGAAATGAGCTGGCTAAATCTGCTGTTGATTTGTGCGGCTGGCATGCTCCACTTATAGATATCCATAAGGCCATCAAGGAAAAGTTCTAAATAAGTGGTAACTACTAGGATATGCTGAGGCCAATAACAAGCTTAAAAATATGTAACCTGTTGTAAAATACTGGGAATCAATTAAAAATGAAGGAAAGTAATATTAACCCATCTTCGAATTCTTCACCTCGAGTAACACCCCGTCTTCAAATTCTTTGCCTTGTCACACACAGGTATTGAAGGCTGAGAGTGTTGTGTATAAATGTACAGCCTACAGAAATGACAAATAAATTCAAACATCTGTAAAACAAGTGAGTAATAACCAAACTATAATTGTTCAAATCAAATTAACAGTAATTAAACAAAATTGTGTTGTGCAAATTTAATGTCATAGTCCAACCAAAGAGGTTAATGTCAATTTATTTCAGTACTTGAAAAAAGTGGATCTTTATTATTCAAGTTGATTTTGTTTGATGTGTATCTTTGTATTTTAATGTATTTCCTGTTTTATGATTTTACTCCTGTTTAATATCTGATATCATTATCTGGATTATGAGCAACTTCATCTCACCATTCATCAGTTTATTATTTCTTTTGATTTTATAAATCTGCTACTGTTTTAAACTTGCATTTGTCAGTAACCTGTGATTGTACCAAATTATTGCATAAAAGAAATTAACATGTGCTTGGCACTTATAATCTGTTCAGGTTGTGTGCCATAAAATCCACTACCACCACTCTTCTATCTGAGAATAAGTTTTTGCTGTTAGTTATTTCTTGAAATTTTTGTTCTGCATTATGCTCTAGATATGACTTTTTGATTTTCTGATTTTCATTTTTGTACTTAAATATTTCATAAATGGTCACTAACATTTTAATCTTCCTAATGTATTTACTGTTTTAAATTATGTTTTAATTTTAAATATCTGTACTACATATTTTTATAAATAAATTAATAAATGTAGCATTCATTATTATTGAGAAAGGAAAAATAGCAAAGGGCAAGTCACATAGTTAGTGATCACCATCCCAAATACTGACTCCATCCTTGATTGCGTCAGTTGGGGGGAATGGGGAGGAGTCAGATTTTTATCTCTGTGTTTACAGAGTGTGGGGCCAAAAAATCAAAGTAAAACACAAGTTTAAATATTATTTTGAAATGTACCCATTTCTTCAAAAATTAGGAATGAAATGTACAGTTTCTCCATTGGGATTTCAGCACTTTTTAGCTGTTGTAAGTTGTTGTTAAGAAATTTTAATTGGGATAATTTAATGCTTCCAAAGATGTTTTCTATCTTCCTCATTGCATGAAAGAATTCAAAGAAATTGTATTTAGGGATCAGTGTTGCTTTGGAAAGGATTTAGAGTTTAAGGTAGCAGTAAATTTGAAATTGTTTCTGTTAGGAGAGGTTATTTTGTACTTGCAAGGAGAAAGGTTTTTTAAGATTATCCATAAAGAGGATTTAAGATTATCCATTATTTTGAGGATAATGTTATTATTATGTTAAGTATTGATGATTTTTAGTTTTTGAGTATTTTAGGCTGTCATCAGTTCCTAAAATATGGCAGAGAATTTGCATTCCTTAAGAAAATTTGATAGTTAAGATGCTAACAAATATTTCTAATTTATAAATTTAAATAAGAATATTCCAATATAAACTAAGTTTCCATTCAAAAAATAATTTAATTATTTATTGCATGTGATTTTTAATTACTTTATCATGTT